CTAAGTATCACAGAGTTTTTGCAACACCCTATAATTATGGCGGGTACACCCCAAATTAAAGGTGTATTGGTTAATTATACAGTATGGAAAATGGTTTTAAATTTTCTGTCCTGCTCATGTGAGTGGCATTGATGCACAGTGGCTTTAAATGTTTGTGACACCAAGACCATTAGTTGTTCATTACAAAATGTCGTTTTTTTTCCTGTAAACATGCAACACAGGTGACTAGATGATTGGTTTGGTTTGTCTAATAGTGTGACTGTAGTAGTGAAGCACATTTTAATTTCATTTTCATTACTGTTGCTCAAACCACATGAACCTCGTCTGCTGTACTTGGAGTCAGTTGGTTTGTATAATACATGGAAAATTAACCTTTTTTCAAATTAAATTTTGGGTTCCTCCAATTATGAAAACAAGATAATTGAAATAGCTGCCACAAATTGTTTCATGATAATTTCCTTGTGTGTTCTATAAAACCGACACCCCCATTCCTTTTACAACAGTACCCATTCCTAAAAGTCCAAAATCACTCCCACCAGCCTGCGTCAGGCTCAGTTCAGTCTGCACTGAATGATTGACTGTTGAGTCACAGTTGCAGGAAATCATGGTTCCAGGAAATCCATTGTTAAAAGAATATATACAGTAAATGCAACGTGTTCTTAAAGTTAATGAGCACCCCTGTTAAATATCATGATCATTTTTGCCGTAGATGAGCAGCTTTAGGCTTTTTTTATTGTAGGTCATCTGATTTGGTATATGTACCAGTTTGACAGTTGATTTAGGAGAACTAAACCACTTTGGCTTCAGTCCATACGTACACACCAGGTTTGTGTTGGCAAGAGAAAAATTTAAAGACACACTTGTATTTATATGTATGCCAAATATCATGTGCAGAGTATGGACATGGCATTATACCTGCAGCTATTTTATATTTTTATTTTATTTCATTTTATTTTTCTGTGTCATCATTCCACAAACACCTAGGTTCCCTCCACTGCTAGAAGAAATTCTACGATTTTCTAGGAATTTTCTGGATTATTTGTTTGTTTTTTTTACCCAGTTTTTTTAAATTTACCTACACATTGAATTTATTATTTACGGAACGCTTCATTAAAATACCAAACAAACAACCAAGAACCCTGATGATTTTTCTGGGTTTTTTTTTTTTGGTTTTTAATAGTGTGGATTTATCCTGAAAGTGTAGTTTACAGAACAAGACCTTAATCTTATGCTATTAGATGATTGAATGTAAACAGCATGCCACATGTGTACACATTTTAATCCTTAAGGCTGTCATTTTATGGTGTTAAATCACATCCACAAAAAGGGAGGGTTCAGGGTTTGAGAGGTGGGGTTGAAATGCCACTTGAAAAGCAAAGATGAAGTAAAAATGACTTTCCATGTTATTCATATGCTGTAATCAATCTTTATTATGGAAATATATACACTAGTCCTCAGTTAGTTTATCATTTATTAGCTCAAAGGGAAGAACTCCACAGTGTAAAGACAGGAATTCTTTGTCAGGCCTTTTGTTCGTGTCCGTTTGCTCTCCTTTACTGCATGACAGCATCCAGTGAGTGTCACAGGTCTTTTTCACACTGAGCCAGTCCCCACACAGGCAGCTCCCACCACACTGTGCACTGGGCCAGGCCAGTGGGAGATCCGGAATGGCTCAAAAGGGCCAAGCCACAAAGGGCCAGCTGCTTGCATTGCATTGGCTTTACATAGGAGGAAGTACTGGATACATGTGATGCATCTTTTTCCAGTGCAGTTATTAGATTTGGAAAATTAGGGGAAATGAACAAGCTCTATTAACACATTTTGCACCCCTTTAATAGATCTCTGCTCAGCTTTAATCAGTCTTTATTTTGTAAAAACAATTCCTGCCTGTTCACATTTCATTTGCTGCTCTTTCAGCACTTCATTTGTGTGTTTTGCTCAAGTCAAACCTCCACAAACACCTAGTGCCCTAAACTGACAGCTGTGGCATTCTGTGAAGTGAAGGTATAAAACTGCCATGACACGGTGAGCAACACTCGTTGTCTGCATTAAATACACGCAGCTCAGCTTAAGCATAAAGTGGTGGCTTATAAAGCCACGCAAGTGCGCAAGCAGGCGTGTGCAAACACATCACAGGGGTTCATAAATATCTCATTCTTCTAGGGATGTTGCATATGCATTCTTATGAGAGCTTACGGTGCAAGAGCGCAGTAAGTGCATTAAATATAGCTGCACGGGAGCTCCTGGGCTCATGAGAGAGTTGTGTCCATAAGAAGGAAAACAAGGCCACTTTTATTTCATGTACCTATAGTCCTTTTAGGTTTGCTTTGAGGTGTATGTTTTTTACTTACAGTAGAATTACTGTCTGAATTCATGAATATAAGTTGTGATTCACTAAATGCAGCTGACTATTTGATGAAAACGGTGCATTCACAATGATGGCGTTTACTGGTCAAACCTACATCTTTTATTCCAACTTTTGCCATTTTGTTTCATTTCCGTTTAGGCCGTCGTCTTTTTTTCAGATGCTCCTTTGAGCAGTCACCACAGCCTCCCTGTCACCCTGTCCCTTGCATCCTCTTGTGTCTTTCATTTAATTGTCTGTCAATGATTTGGAAAACAATAAATCACTTTTTTTTGCTGCTATACTCTTTTGCTGGTTTTGCACCCCTTTCCTTTACAGAGGTCTGTTTTTTAAGCCTCTCTAAATCTCCAAACTCACTAAGAATTGTCTTTATCTTTATATAGAAGAGAAGCTTTCGTCAATGGGATTCATCTAACCGACGTCAGGTAGCGTCTGTAGGTGACCCCGTGGAAGCATTAACGTCTGCACCTGCAAGGGTCTGCCATCAACTCCACTTTATGGTGCTCAACTGAGGTATTGGTTGATTGTCAGCGTGGCCTTTTGGTATGGTGCAGGTATCCTCAGGCGCATGAATCTGCTGCTACCTGAGCCCATAATTGCCTCTGTCATTGCCACCTGGAGATGTCCCACAGTAGAGGATGCGGGGCAGCAGTTTGCCCTAGCGATGTCAAAAGCACCCGCTAGCCTGGTCCCAACTCGGTACTGGATGACCATGTCCCCACCCCCACCATAGCGTTTTTTTGCCCCCATAATGTCTTTAGGAATGTCTCCATATAAAAGGCACATTTTAAGTTTAATAAATGGATGTTTATCAAGTTAAGGACTAATTGAGTTAATCAAGATTACACTTATTGATTAGAACTTTCACCATAGTAGCTCTACAACATTATTAAGCCTAAGATTTCGTTACTGAATAACAATTAATTGTTTGGATTAATGAAAGACAGAAGAGAGTCAGCATCTTGGCCACAGCCAGCTGAGCTTCTGCTGTGCACTGGTGCAAACACACACCAGCACGTTCCTTCATTCTTAATTTACACTTCCTAATAAACTAACAGCCTGACACTTGAAGAAATGAGTATGAGCATGCAGTCGGCAGCATCATAAATCCTCTCTACACTGACATATTTGTAGTCAAAAACACCGTAAAGATGCCAAATCAAAGTACTGCTCACAGTTACAGATTTCTGTGTTTTCTTTCTGTTCTTGTTTGTCACTAACGATGCTGCTCTCCCCTGAGGCGGCCCTATTGGGACGACTGACGCTCCCACAAGGCTTTGTCACAGATGCTCTTTTTGTCTAAATTAGAAAATGATTATCACAGAGAGAAAGGTCAAACTGTCTGCAAGACACAATGAGCTCTTTTTAAGTTAAAAGTCACAGGCAGGCTTAGTATGATTGCATTATGGAAATATAATGTGAATATACATGCAAATGATGGTGTTTTTAACTTCTCACATAGGAAAATGTGAACATGTAAATAAACTATGCAAAGTTGAAAGTGGTGTGTAAGAAACGGGCATTTTTAATTGCCGTGTTGCATTTAGCAGAGAGATTGATAATAAAAATCGTTTCAGCTCTTCACACCTGTAACTCTGCATATAAGAGGAGGTTTTTCGGTGGAGTGAAAACACAAGTTAAATTAGTATTATGCATTCTACCTGCGCCTCAAAAACCACCCTCAAAACCCCACATGGGAAGCAGCAGCTGATGTTGTTGTAAGGTCCAATTTTCAGAAATGATTGAGTGGCTTTAAAATCTCTTGGCTGGCAGTATTGATGTCTAAAGCACTTTAGCTGTATCTCTGTCTCAGTCACAAATACACACACACACAGACATATACACACTCCACTTCCCCTTCCTGGTGAAGTACAGGATGTGCGGCTCAAGAACTAAGCAGTTTTTTCTCCTCCTCTGCTGTTGCCAGGAATGCTTTATGGGCCATGTTAATATTGGACTTCTCTGGGTAGAAAGATTACTTGATTCAATCAAGCAAGTCGCTGCCTTGTAAAGTCATTACACTTTGTGCAATGTCATGTGTTCTGGAGCCAGCGGACGGACCCATGTTCTGCTAGGAAGTGGCCTAGCGAAAGCATGTGTGCCTTGCACGTCAGCAGCTATAAATAGCCATCACCAACTAACATAAACACTTTTCAGAAATCAATTAGAGATGCCTTTTCCGCTACCAAAATACAGCATGCTGTCCTTGTCAATTTGTGCTCCGGGGCAGACTTCAAAATAAAAGAAAAAAAGAAAAGACTTCTCAGTGAATTTGCACGTGGTTAAAGCTGGAGGGTATGAGATTGCAAAAGACAAAAGGGGAGGAGATGCAGCGATTGCAGGGTAGAGAAGGAGGAGGAAGTTGATATCAAAGCAGAATATCAGTGCAAGAACAAAAATATGGTGACCTCACTGATAGCATCTCCGTGTCACTTTTCTAAGGGGAAAGAAGTGCTGCAGGGAAAACTTGTAATATGCGTATAGATAAGGCAAAGAAGACAGAAAAAGGTGAGAAGAGAACAGAAAAGAGCGGCAGTTTTAGAGGTGCTTTAGGTGAGTGAAGAAGAAAAAGAAGAGGAGAGGGCAGCAAGTACTTTTTCCAGCTCAGTGCAGACTGAGAAAAGCAGACTCTTACCTGCTCAGAGGTTGTGGCTGGTGGGACGGAGAAGTGAGGAGAGTCAAAGGGTCCCGGGGTGGTCTGGGTGGTAGGGGGTCTCGGTCCGGCTCGAAGCGGGGCTGGAGGGTGGTCCAGGAGAGGGGAGGAAGGATGGAGTGACAGGGAGCAGGGAGACGGGGAGGCTAAAGGGGGGAGAATAAACGCCGCTTGCCTCTCCCTCCCTTTCTCTCTCTCTCTTTATCTCTTTTCTCCTTCCAACATACACACACACACAAACACACACGCGCTCGGAGGCAGACTCCAAAAGCCCGAGTCACTCAGATAATAGACAGAGAAAGAGTCTTTACATTTACAAGCTCTGCCACAGGGGGAGGATGGGGTGAGCTCCCCTCCCACTCTCCTCCAGGCAGCCAATGGCAGGTGGCAGAGAGGTGTCCAGCCAGCCAATGAAAGCAGAGGCAGACGGTGCCTTACCCCAGCCAATAAGTGCAGTAGCTCATATCCAGTTGGAATAATTACAATATGGAAGGAGTCATGAAAGGCTTCCCTTCTGAAGGACAGAACAGGCGTCACACTCCTGCCACAGAGTGTGATTTAGGGCTGCCACAGACATTAGAGTGATTAGATTCTGGGCCAATCATCCCAGCACCATACCACTGCTGCTTGACAGTAAAAACTAAAGAGGGTTCTAGTTCACTGGAGTTTGAGAATTAGTCATTCACACACACAAAAAAGCATAAGCACTCATGTGTTTATATTCACAGGCTGTCACATGCAAACCTTATGAATTGTCATGTGTCACGCTCTGTACCTTTAACGCTGAACATCTACAGGCTCGTCAACTATGAGCGGAGAATAAGAACCGAGTGTGAAATTTCATCAGGCACCTTTGCTCTCACGCTCACTGAGGACCATACCTCACTTCCACAAGTCTTATTTTATTTCCTCCCTCTCAATCGATGGCTCCGGCAGGCAGCGGGCATAATAAATGATCAATGGTGAGCGGTCAGGTTGAGGAATGAGAGGCACATCACCAATTCAGGAAACAAAGGAAACACCAGTTATACTATTACATCAAAAAAACAGAAAAGTGGTTGTTCTTTTAGTCAGCACATTTTGATGACTTGCTGAAAAGTAGATTTTTTTTTTTTTTTTAAGAATTCTCAAGGGCCGCCAGCTGTGGAGGATGCAGGGTTTGAAACGGCGCTATGAAACCCAGCACTTTCCTCACTTGGTTCACAATTAACAATACCCTGATATCCTTTTGAAAAAAGAACATTCCTCAAGGAAAATGATACTCCCATTTTCTTAACTGCTGTTCTGAGTTCTGCTACAGTCTATCCCAGCATCCATTGGATAAGAAGTGAGTATAGAGTGGAGAGACCGGCAGTTGATCAGACAGACGCCTTAAATCACACTCGCACCGTGTAAATGTTTCCAGTAACCAAACGTGTGCATGCCTGTCATGACGAACAGCCCACAACTTTCTAGCACAAAGGAAAACATAGGGATGATACGTGAAATAGAAACATGAATAGTGATAAATAAACCCATAAATACCATAAATGATCTGCATAGCTACTGGGTCTGAAAAGTGAACCTGCATTCTTTCTCCTAGCCAGCAGGAGGCAAATTCTTTGGTTGCCAAAATACTTACACTGTTCCTTTAGTAAATTTTAGATCCACAGGCTGATATTATATTAGATGTTTGAATATTTATCTGTATCAGCTTTTAGAAGAGTTGGTAAATGCAAAATGTAAAGGTAAAGAAGAGATGGGAGAAACACCCTTCAGCCATGAAGTGTTGACATTGTGTAGTAGCCACAAACGCAACAACTAGTTGGTCAGAGTGTAGTCAGGTGGAGCGTAAGCACATAAATAATTAACTGCACATAAAAAATGTTAGGAAAATGCTGAAATATCAGAAAATTAGATTTTTAAATCACCAAATATTGTTATAGGTCTAAAAGTCCTATATTGGTTGGGCTCGAGTAATTTCTGCTGAAAATTAGTCAGAAAATAAGAGTATCTATGATATTCTCATTGGCTGTCTTGTCTTTCATCATATTTGATTCCAAAACAACACGATGCGCACAAAAGCTTTAGGCTTATAAAGTGTCCTCACAAACCAGTGGCTGAGAGCATGGTGGATAAACCAGTTTTCATACATATATATGGAATTACTGATTATTTTCATCACACTAAACTGAAATTGCGGAACTCAACTCAGAGAACCTCTTTATGAGACTTGCACAACAATGAGATGGTAATTTGGACCATTCCTTCATTCTCTTCATCAGTATTTTTGGGATGTCTTGATTCAGTGGTTCTTTTTAGGTCATATGACAAGATCTCAGGCAAAATCCTTCTGGAAGAAAGTTGTGCTGGAGCTGTATGATTCAACTTTCCTTTAATATGGAGAAATTTGGTGAAACTGCTGAAGATTTGACTGCTTGTCCTGTAAAATTCCTTCAGCCGCATTTTAAGTAAGATTCCAGTCTGTCTCATAAACACCCTTATCTTCTTTTGGTGTTGTTCCTGGTGAAAACTATTTGCATACTGTTTAAAGATCCACATCAGAGTCGCCTTTAGTAGAAATTTTTGTTATTTATAGGTCAAAGCTGCCCAGTCCCCGAGGCAGTGAAGCAGCCGCAAACCAGAAGTTGATTTCCGTTTGTTCTCCTGAAAAGCTGGCTTTGGTTCACGCTTTATTTACAGTTACCAACCGGTGCTGTCTTTGTATCTCCTTTCCAAAGCACATTAATGCCTGGGGCACGGTTTACCCTAGGTTTCCATGCGTAGAATTAATCAGTGATCTTATATGTTGCAATGTGTATGTATTTTTAGATGGTACCCTGACCTTGTGCATGCATATTCCCCTCCGGGAGAAGGTAAATTACGAATACATTTACAAAACACACTCTCAGTCCAATTAGCATAATTGTTCAAAAACAGTGGCAACCAGATAAAGTTGATAAATTAGACGTGCTTTGGGCCAGTTTACCCACCATGTTCTCAGTATTAGAGCGGCTAAGTGTGTGATCAAAGTGCCATGAAAGAAAGTGCAGTCAGATATGGCAAAGAACAAGTTGCATTTTTCTATTGTGTAGTGTTCTTTTACATTATTGCTACTATTTTAAATAATTGTAATTTAAACACACATGACATTTTGATCAATTTCAGTTCAAGCTGATATTTTGTCAGGTGTGAAGTGAGTTTTGCATTTTCTTCTTTCTAACCGCGGGAAATGGGGACTTGGTGTTAATACCAATGTTTGCAATGTGTTTTGTGCCTTTTGCAATTTTGCAAAAAGATAATAATTACTTATGAGAAGAAAAGTTAAGAAACGTTGCACCTTTTTTCCATTGGAAAATTTCATCCTGTAAGCTGTCGTGCTTGGAAGATGGAAGCTCGCTGAAAGAACAATGAACAAAGCATGATTATTAAAGGCACACTGATTGTTAGAAATAATACCACCTGAGTTTGCCTTACTCCAGGATTAAGCAGCTGGTGAGTGCAGTTAGTGCAGTGATCTTTCACAAAAGTGCCAGCAACTTGTTCGTGTTTGGAAAAGGCCAACAAGATTCAGACAAGCCATCTCAGTGCACACAAATCTTTTCATGCTCTGGGTTTTTTGGTACCTTTTATTTAATTTTCTTCAGCTCTGTGAGCATGACTGAAGCTGTTCACCAATCACCAGACGCCAATCTGCTTCCTGTGCAACGATCCACCCCTGTGGAGAACCACCATGGTGCTCAGTTTCACCTTCAGGGATGGTTCCTGTGAGGAATAGCTCAATAATTACTCAAGCATTGTTTTTAATTGATTCTTACGTGGCTGAAATTTCTTTTCCTCCTCTGTTTTAGTCGTTCCTTTTTGTGTTCCATTTCTTATATAAAAGTTATGTTTTCATCCTTTTTTTAAAATGTCTGAAACGTAACTCACTTAAATGCCTGGGCTTTGTCTTTGTGGTTTTTCCAAATGTTAAAATGCGTCATGTAAAAAAAGAAAAATGTTATTTGGTTAATCATGACCTTCACCTCACTGTTCTTTCATTTATTTTTTTAAACACATGATTTGATAAATCAAGTATTTTTCTTTTTTAGTATTTTGAGATCAACACTTTTGCATTTGTAGCAAATGGCGTGCTCCAAGGCTGATTTTGTCTTTTTTTTTCTCCTGAGGACGGGGGGTCATCATGGACCAATCTGAGTTTTACACCACTTGTAGATATATTTGGAAATCTATTTAAATCCCTTGGCAAGCTCTTGGATACTCTCAACCTTTTTTCTGAAGGCCTTACAGAGCTCTTTAGCTCTTAGCATGATGATGCCACACACTAAAGGAAAGAGAAGAGCAGACGCTAAATGCCAGACTTTTTAACTCATGAATACCTCTATAAAGAAGCATTATTCAAATGGCTCTCATTCAGTTATCTTTGGCCGCAACATGACATCCTGGAAAATGTGTTTGCATCTTATCCAGGTCTGCAAGAAAAGGTATGCAAACATATTGCTCCTAATCTTAGAGGAATACGTGTGCATCACTTTAAAAAGTTCTCATTGATGGTCTTAGACTGCAGGTTGTAGGTCATTTCTTTGCTCTGTAGGATCAATCTTTGGTTACACAAACCAGTTCTCCAGTTGCTGCAGGTTCTAGTTACACTTACCTATGCAGTGCATCTCCAGAGAAGGAGAAGTACTACTATTACCAACTTCAGTCACACCCAGTGGATTTAGAGTCTGTCTGTCTGACTGTGGTGTGAGTAACTAGTGAGACTGCTGCATTTTGGATCACTGCATTACCAACCTAGCCAGAGAGCCACAGATGGTTAGCGGAGAACCAGCTGCTTCTTATTTTTGCAGTCAGGCTGAACGTCTTAGGTACTAGTTACCTGGTCCTCTTTCAGCTCTGCAGCCTCAGTGAGACACTGGAGTTGGATTATGTCCACAGGACGGGAAGCACACTGGAGAGACAGCTGAATGGTTTAGAGGATCTCCACAGAATTAATCTAGTCAGATGGTAGGGAAACCTGGGGAGGGAAGGGTTGGAGCTGGTGGTCAGCAGTGACTGAACTTTCAAAAATAAGAGCATGACTCCACACCATTTCTGTGGGGTTAGGTTTGCAGCTGATTAAATTTCCCATAGGTGATAATATGAGTGTGAATTGTTGTATGTCTCTCTCTGGTATCCCTGGAATAGACTGGTGAAACCTGAATTGGATAAGCAGGAGAAGATGGATGGAGATGCCACTAGTTAATTGATTGATTGGGTCTGTGTCATTCTTTCATTTATTTAAAATAAATAAA